GCCCAAAGGCGGCCCAAGCTGCTCTTCGCCTCTGTTTAATTTTTCTTTCAGATCGTTCTCCATGCTCATCACACCCTAACGTGAGAAGACGTCTCCATAATGGGAGAGCCTTCTAATTTCATTTCCTGATCCTCAGAAAAAGTATTTTATCAACTGATTCTTCTTTCGGTCAATTCACAGTCCTATCCGTTTACCTACTTCATTTAGTTCCTTCAACATCGTCTCCGCTTCAGTGATATTTCTCGAGAAGAGAAAAATGTCGTCCGCAAAACGAAGTTTCGAGAGAAATCTTCCATCAACTCATATACCTCTCTCGTTCCATTCCAGTGATTTCAACACCCACTGCGCGGCGGTAGACAATTTGATGACAAGCTATCGCCTTATCGAACAACCTCGAAATTGGTATGTTAAGGGGCGAAAGGGGCGATGGAAATAATGGAAATACTGTACCGTTGTAGAGCAGTTCTTCTAGCAGTAGGCCAGTGTCCTCACGTATGATGGTCCATCCTTTTGTCGACGAGCGCTGACAGTATGGCATTAGTGTCGACGCTGTCAAAGCTTCATAGTCGACGAAGGTCAGAACGAGAGATAGGCGGTACTTTCAACGAACGTCATGATCCTCGAAATTGTATGGATGTGATCCACGCAGCTGAATCCCTTGCGAAGTCCAGCTCTTATTCTATAGTTTGGAAATCATTCAGTGTCCTGATATGCGAGCGAGAATGATCATCAGAATGACCTCTTCGTGAAGAGCTTGAAAAGCACGCTCAGCAGGCATAGTTCCTAAAATCCACCCTATCGCCTTCTTGTGAAGAAGGATTCGGGAGGTTCTTCACTGGCTGGCTTTTCCGAAGGTGAGACGTTAGACTGCAAGTATCTTGTGTAGGCGATGTCCTGTCCTCCAGCTCGTAAGAGTTTGGCCGGAATGTGATCGGTCCCGGAGCCGGATTGCCTTCTCAGTTTGGATTGAGGCGCGACTTCAGCAGGCAGAATCCTTGGGATATTTCTAAAGTGGAGATAGCGGGGTTTGCACGGATGTTGACGAGCGGAAGAGATTGGTGTGGATTTTTGTGATCAATTCCAGCTTTTGTCGGAAAGATGTGCGAGTCCCATCTTTGTTTAGTAAAATAGTCGAGAAGGTCCCTGCAATACTTCTTTAGACTTCTGCTTCCTTGTGCTGCTTCCAAAAGTTTCAATTACCTGGACTTTCGAAGATCTTCTTGCAAAGTTGTTCTGCAACTGGTATTGGATACCAGTCGCTCGAGATGTGTTGCATTCGGATCCAGCCTCAGTGCTCTTCTCCACTCTAGCAGTCCTTGGTGGCTTTCGAAATTCGTCCTTCCTTGTTCGAGGCATTGACGCAATTTCACCATAAGTCTTCTGTCCTCTGAAAAGCAGGTCACAGTCCTTTGTCGACTCCTCCTCGATGGGCCAGTCCAAGTCATCAGAAGCTCCTCTAATCTGACACCGTCATATACTACTTCTCTCCTTTCTCTAACATGGTGGCAGATCTTCTTTTCCAGCTTTTGGCTGAACCGCTCTTATCTCGAAGGAGGCGGTGATCTGATTCACAGCTGAAGGATGGTACCACTTAGACATCTAGTAAGCATCATCTTTGGTGGGTGAGAATGTGGTCGAGTTCCGCGTGAGACGTACCGTTGGGTGACATATGTCCACGGCCGGTGTTCACTCTTGAAGTTGTAGTTGCCATGAAAATGTCATGCGGTGGATTAGAGCCCAAAAAGACCGATACCATTCTCATTTTGTAGTCCTGATCCAGCTCTCTCAGTCCTATGCTCCGTTGTGTCTGACATCCCGATTTTCGTATTGAAGTCAGCCGAACTTATAAAAGAATTTCTCTTTGCGGATGACTTCTTTCAAAAAAAAAAAGCATCAAGCTCCGAATTATTGGCTGCTGATGCTGGAGAGTGACAGCTGATGATAGTAATGGTTTTCTGATGCAGAGGAGGGAGTCGAAGGATAGCCAGGCGAGGTGCTAAAATCTTATGCGAATCGACAAGATGGGCAACAAATGGATGTACAACAAATCCAACGCATCCAACGTCCCGT